ACAATCACATGTCTACTAATTAAAAAGTTACAACTCTTTAAATAGTGACTTTCATTAAAATAAAAATAACTACCTACTAATTAAAAAGTTACAACCCTTTAAATGACACTTTTTCATTAGAATAACTACTTTATACTACTATATATAGATAAATATAAACTAAATGACTTTTTATATGCGAATTAATTTTATTCAGTTTTTCCTATATAAAACAAATTTTAAAAATGTTGATTATAGTTAAAAGATTTAAATTGTGTTCTAATTTCTAATATTAAACAAACTCTCACAAATCACTTTCCAAATAATTTATATTTGTGAATAATCGTAGATAAAGTCAAACATAATTCATTACGGATGACTATGTATGGTTTAACTTGTATTTGAATTTTAACAAAAATATCATTTATTTCTCAACTAAAGATTTTATGTCAACTTTTTTGTTTTATAACATTATCGAAACAATTTTATAGTTATTTCTTAGGATCATGTTTTTTGAAAAACAATCTGTTTATAATTATCCGTGTATTACAGCGTCACATCTTTTATTTTCTCTATTATAGGTTGTATTTTTCGAGAAAACAGTTTTAAGACCATTTTATAGTCATCGGTATATCGAAAAATCCGTTTTATGGTTATTACTAATTCACTGGGTCACGTCGTCTTTTTGGAAAAAAATATTTTATGATTAATACTGCATATTGGAATTGTGTTATTAAATCATTGTTTTTTTTCATCACTTTTTCTTGTTATTTTTCTTCTGTTTCAAAGTATTTTATGTTTTCTTTGAAATATATTACTAATTTTGATTGGTTTGTATTTATATGACTTCATATATAATTATCTTTATTTTTTATTATATAATTTTCATAAGGTTGGTTTATGTTGCCTCGACTTGAGAATTGATTGTAACCATGCTTTAAAATTTATTAAAGATGATTGTATATTCGTATGTATTTGGAAAATAAATTGTATCTTTGGTTTTATTCGCAAAAATTAAAAAAAAAGGTTTAGTTGAGAGGTTCTTTTGCCCCCGCGATTTTGCGAGGCCTAATATATAAAATATAAATCCATAATCCTTTAATATTCGTCCATTATTTTCGAAAGAACAATATAGGAGTATGAAAGAAAACTGGAACGAGAGAAATTTATTTAAATTTTAATGGAAAATGTATGGGATTTTTTGGTCCACAATTAACCGAAAACAAAATAAAAAGTCATTCGCATAAAACACTACATTTATAAAAAATTTATCTCATCATGCCGCTTTCGAACAATAATACTTTTCGAACGAAATACCATTATTATTAAATTCGCGCGCAAAATACTGTTATTATCTGTTAACTCAAAATAGAGTTAATTAGTTTTGCATAAAATAATTAGTTGAGAACATAGAATTAAAAATTGAAAAAAAAAAAATGGGTTATCATTTGAGCAATAAAATCAGATTGAATGACTAGAGGTTCCCCGAACTTGATAGCGTTTTTCATGTCAAAGCTGAGACAAGGCATTTGCTTCCAAACGTTCCTCCATCTTTCAGACAACACACTTGTCTGGATCGCGTCTTCTGAGCACAATTTCGATAAAATCATGATCAACAAATCGTCATGGAGTTGGCTAATCCGGTCAATTTTTTCAACCCGGATCCGTTTCCCTCTTTCATTTGAAGATGGGGATGGGATAAATGATGAAGTGAAAGAAAATGGTGGGAGAGACATTAAGAGAATAAATGATTTTGATTTGGACACTAAGCAAGAGAAGGAAAAGGATGTGAGATTTCTAGAAGTGAGGGAAAAATATGATAGAGACAACCAAATATATCTGGACGTTGTTGTTATTACTTAACTTTTAAACCTTAATTTTATTTCCATTAAAAGTATTGAATTTAAAGAAAAAATATTTGACATTTGATAAAAGTGGAAAAGAATTTTAACATTTAGTACATTCCTTTTTCAACAAAAAAAAAAAAAAATAGTATATTCTTTGTTTATGTCCATCATTATGTTTAGAGAAAATTTAGTATATTCTTTGGTTTTTCTTTCACTTCATCATTATGCATTTAGTATATTCTTTGTTTATGTGCAACAATGCATTTTTCCAATATCCAACCAATTCATTCAATTCTATGTATAATTATTTCGCTTATATTATTTGATTTGGAATTCGAAATGTTTTACTGATTCGACATGTTTTGTGTCATTGTGTGTCATCTAATATTCTCATTGTATGCATCGTACTACACTTTTGAATAAAAAATAAAATTATTGAAAAATTATGTGGTGTGGGATGGATGTGTTACATTTTTGGAATTTTTTTTCAGTCAAAATAGTATATGTTGCCACAATAAAAATTACCATATTAGCTGTA